AAAGTTCCGGCCGGAACCAGAACCAGCCAGAACTTGAAAAAAGTTCCGGCCGAAACTACCCTGCTAAGCTGGGAATATACTTGACAGTTTTAATTGCGCAAACTCACCCGGCCTAAACGCAATATTATTAGCAGGCACATCACTCAGGCGAGTAGGACAATGCTCATTGTTCTACATGTTCTCATTATGTCTCATGTACTCACTATGTCACATGTTCTCATGTTCTCATTATATACATGTTCTCATTGTCTACAATCAATGAGAACAATGTAGAATGTAAACATGTAGAATCTACATGTTCACATTCAACATTGTTCTCATTGTTCTCAATGCTACAAAGTTCTAATTACAGGATAGTTGTTAGGTGTATAAATCATCTGCTTACAGTGAATAATTCTGGCATCTTATTCGCGAGCGAATTGTGTGGCAAACCCTGCATGTTGCAGTATCCCTGGTTTTAGTCGTTTCTTTTCAACTAACAAACAGATGCCATTCCTGTGGCTCTAAAAGTATTATTTTTTTTAAGAAAATCTCGTGAATCACCTAACATCAGTTAGGTTCAGTTCAGTTAGTTAGCCGATGTTCAAGTGGCAAACGTTTTCTGGGCAGAATAGTGTGAAGTTGTTAACACTAACTATATTGTCAGCAAATTGACTCTATTGACGCTCAACTACATTCAGTGACTGGTCTTTAGATCTTGATGACGCTTGTAGCAGAAATGAAATTAGGAAAAAGTTCCCGGTTCCGGCCGACTGTTCCTGAAGGGTTCCGGCCGGAACCGGAACTTTGAAAAATTGGGGATCCGGCCGGATAGTTCCGGCCGGATAGTTCCGGCCGGATCCAAGTTCCGGTGCACCACTAATGCAGTCATTCTCGACGGTGTAGCCACATGTCCAGTGTCCGGTAGAAGCTGTGCGGCTATGGTAGTTAAACATTTTCTGACAGGGTCTACATGGCGTATGTTCACCGTTGATGCAACTGTACACACTGGCAGATATGGATCAAATTTCTAGCTGGCAATGTGAACCAAGAGAGGGAGCCACTCACCCTTACCCAATGCTTCAATAAATACACAGCCAACAAAGTATACCGAATTCGGTTTTAAAACTTGGTAGGAGTTTAAAACAGCGCAAGCGACACCGCTACTACGAGTTTGAGCATCGCCAAACATTTCTCTGAAATCGTAAAACCGGCGCACGACGCTTGTCCGTTTCCGCGCCGACGATCAGGGAATCGTCGATCAGACATCGTCCGTCCGTCCAACCGTCACGCCCGCACCTACCTTCACAGAAGAACATGTCCCAGACGCGCAGTACGGACGCCCAGGGTAGAGTGCGACTGTATATGCACATAAACCACTCTGTCATGACGAGAATCGGCTCTATCCTGTGCTTCTTCTGCAAACATCGACATACATGACTTGTTAACAACTATAGTATATAGCTAGTGTATAGCTAGTATATAGCAGCTAGTATACAGAATCGGCTCTATCCTGTGCTTCTTCTGCAAACATCGACATACATGACTTGTTAACAACTATAGTATATAGCTAGTGTATAGCTAGTATATAGCAGCTAGTATAC